AGAAATCGACACTTCTCACTTTACTCTGGCCAACCTTAACATCAGTCAGAGCTTAATTGTTCCAACCCAGAATTTGCTTAAGAACCAGTGTCCCTGTCCCTCCACTCCCACATTTCTGTTTGTTATTTCAATATATGACATGAACATCTGAGGCCAGCATGTCACACAATGCACAGGCGCCTACGCCCATGGGAACCTTCCTGAGGACAGAGGAAGTGGCTCTAAATGCCATACTTTGATTCCTAAACTTGTTGGCTTCCCAACAATACCCACGTGGAATTTATTAATGACCCAAGCACAATGAAGCTGTCAAAATGAATCAAAGCCACCTGCAAGGAGCTGGAGAGTATGACTTGCAGTCACTCCATTCCTTTGATTCAGCAGCTGCCTGGCCCTTTGTCTGCTATGGTCACAGGCTGCTGGGAGCCAAGGGGCCAGCGCCAACTCCAGGAGGCCTGGGGTGCTGGGTCCGTGCCCTGCTGCTGCCGGTGGACAGAGCAGAACCCAGACAAGACACAAGGGTCCCCTGCCTGGCCTGCCGGACCTGGCCACAGGGCCACCTGCTTCTGCCTGTCCTGGGCACCCCTTTAAACTGGGCTTTCTGGCCACTGGTGTACTGGACTTTGGGTCGGACCGACCTGGGTTTGCCTTCTGAGTCCACACTAACTCTGTGGTTCAGGTCTCCTCACCTTGCTGGGCTTCTGTTTTCTTATCTATAAAATGGGAATAATAGGCCCTATGTTTTGGTGATGTACAGACTGGAAATAACGTAGGTGGATGTCAGGCACAGAGAAGAAGCCCAGTGCACGGTGGCCGTCACTTTCAGGTACCGGGCTGGCTTTCTCCCCTGTCCTTCCCAGCACCCCCTGCCGTCTCCATCTGGGCCACAGACTTGTTTTCTCTTGTCTTTGTCACCGACAGCTAGACTTGATCTTGGGCTCCTGGCCAGACTCCTGCCCTGTTCCCACTCCACCCCAATAACCCACCCTTCCTTCCCAGAGCTGCCTTGGACCCAAATGACTTTTTTAGCCACTGGGCTTAGAACTCAATAAAATTATGTTTGGAACAAAAAAATGAAGAAATTGCTTTCCAAACTATTTCCGAAGATTTGTTTCCTGCCCTTGGGGTAATCCTTGCTGTCACCGCCAAGATGGGACCGTCCATCAGCAGACGGCTGGTTCCTGTAGACTGACCACTGGGATGTGTCCTACGGGTCCAGTCGCTGTGTCCTCGCACTTGGGGCGGGCGGGGGGCCTGGTGGCTGCAAGCTCACTCTGCCTCCCTGTCTTCATCTCTCCTCTGCGTTTGTGGGGGGCACACGGCATCTCTCACACACCCTTCTCTGTCCGAAGCCTTCGTGGTCTCTTCCAGGGGACGCGAATGAAGGAGAGGCGTGTGTGACTGTGTGTGCTCAGGCCCACGCACACACATGGACACCCACAGGTCGCTCTGCTGTTCTAAATCCATGAACGTCCTTCCTCCATCTGCAGCGAGTCAGGGCACGGCGGGAGTCCTCTCCAGGGTGGCAGGCGCAGATGGTGGCAGGGCGAGGGCGCGAGTCCCAGCAGTAGCAGACATGGGTGGAGAGACAGACGGAGATGGGCACTGGGCGCTGTGCTCGGGGAGCCTGCGTCCTGCCCCGGGGGAGCTGGGGACACAGAGAGGAAGGGGATAGGGAGGGTGGCGGAGAGGGGATTGGGGAGGGGAGAGGCAAAGCAAGGAAGGAGTGAAGGGGAAAGAAGGACAGAGAACTGGTCACCTCCATCTGCATCTTACATTTTCAATCTTCCCAAACTGTGGCTGGGGTGGAGGTGGGGAGTACACGCAGTAGAACATGTTTTTCTAACTGTTGTCTTTTTCCCTTGCGGGGCTGACGTACCCGTTTGGCACAGCAGAGCCACTGCCTGGGGGCCACCATACTTTTAGGGGGCCAGGAAAATGTTTTATTTTCATTTCTTTCAAAATTAGAAGAAAAAAATGAGAATAATAACAGCTATGTAATGATGGATCCAGCGTGGATTATATTCATCTTTATAACAGCAGAGTTGCAAAGTACCATTTTTAACACTTCTTTTTAATGGAAGAGGGGCCCCCAAACATCAAAACACCACCCTGTTCCTTGCCCCTGTGCTCACCGACCCCAAAGGCCTCACTGCTTCCCTAGGTAGGGTTTTTTTATTTTTATGTTTTTAGAGTCGGGGTCTCGTTCTGTTGCCCAGGCTGGAGTGCAGTGGCACGATTATAGCTCACTGCAGCCTCAAACTCCTGGGCTCAGGCGATCCTCCTGCCTCAGCCTCCTGAGTAGCTGGGACTATAGGTGCGTGTCACCATGTCCGGCAAATGTTTTACTTTTTGTAGAGATGGGATCTCACTATGTTTCCCCGGCTGGTCCCGAACTCTTGGCCTCAAGGGATCTTCCCACCTGGTCTCCCAAAGTGCTAGAGTTACGGGTGTGAGGGTTTTTATTTTAATTATAGCTGTTCTTGTTAGGCATCATTCGAACTTACCATCTAATCACTCATTTTGAACATACGCGTGTCTGGTCCGTGTGGCTCTGCATGTGTCCCCTCCCTGAGCCAAGCAATGCTTTCTCTGTGCTCTGGCTGCTGGCGGAAGTAGTCAGGGGGCCTTGCTGCTGGCAAAGGGGCAACTTCAGGGCTGCCTAGACTTGGAGCCACCCCTCACCCCCACCCCAGCTGACCCAGAGGTGATGGCACTACACACACCGGCAGCTGGGACCCTGCGGAGCTCAGGTGTGGAGCGAGGCGGGTGTGTGCAGACCATGGGGCTGTCTTGTTGTTCTTAGACTGCTCAGTGATTCACGTGTGACTTGGTGTTCAGGTTTATCACTGATCACCCCCAAGGCCTGATTTACCTCCTCACAGGGGATTTTCCTTTTTCTTTTTTGCTTCCAATTTATAAAAGTTTTGAATAGGCAAAAAGGTAGGAAAAAGTAAAGATCAAGCATAAAGATGCAACCCCAGGAAGAATGCTGGCATGTTACAACAATGCCACCGGAATCATTTAGTGGTTTAACTGTTTGTCTTGGAGAGATGTGAAAAGATGGGGAAAATCTCTTTCAATAAATTATTTGGATTCGAGAGTTGTCTTCATGGATTCTGAAACTAATTTTTATCTCTTTGTGTATAAACTATGTTAACATTGACAATTTTGAGTTTTGACTTAAGGAACAGAAATGCTCAAGAGGAAAAAAGTGTGCAGAAAGAGGGGAGGGAGCCTGGGGGGTGGCGCGGCAGAATGTTTAATAAAAGCGGGGTGTTTGCTGCATCGCTGACTAGCGTGTGGGTGGGGACGCAGGCTGATGCTGCCAACATCCTCCTGTGATGGGGAGAGCCGGAGACTCTCAAATGACCCTTGTTACTACTGTCACCCCCTGGGCAGGTATCCTCTCATCACTGTTCCCACCAGCCGGCCCTCACACTAGCCTGTTCCGCTGCTGAGCTGCCATCTGTGTCTGTCTGGCCGGGAGCACCCACCACCTGCAATGCATAAACGGGAACGTGGCCAAGGGGAGCTGAGGCTGCTTTGGGCTTGGCTGGTGACCTTTCCTGGCCCCAGAGAGGTTGGATCCCCACCTCTCTGGCTCTGTGACTTCTCTCCCTGGAGCCCTCCAGCCCTGGCAAGGCTAAGGTGGGAGGAGGTACCTGAGAGGGCACCTGCCTGTCCCTGAGAGTGGGATGTGCAGGAGAATACATGGTGGCGTGGACATCCTGAGGGGCAACGCCCAAGGGTCCCCGGGTCCCAGAGGTGAGGGTACCATCCGGGAGGACACGCAAGGAAGAGGTAATGCATTTGGATTTGTCCGTTCCTTCCCGGGGGGCCTGTCAGATGCATGTGTGTGTGTGTGTGTCTGTGTGTGTGTGTGCACATGTGTGTGTGACAGCACACACTTGCCTGTGTGTCTGCCCCTCTGTCCATATAACGGGGTCCTCCCCGCTGGCCCCACGGCAGGGACCGTGTCAGCCCACCCAGTGTGCTCTCTGTGATGGTTACTTTTATCTGACGACCTGCCTGGGCTACGGGGCCCAGCTGTCTGGCCAACAGCAGTCTAGACGTTGCCGTGAGGTACCTTTTAGGTGTGATTAGCACTGAACCAGTAGACTATGAGTAGAGCAGATGCCCCCCACAACGTGGGTGGCCCAGCCGGTCAGCTGAAGACCCGAAAAGACAGAGGTGCCCCAGAGAGGAGGGAATTCTGCCTCCACCTGCCTTCGGACTCAGGATGACATCAACCCTGCCGCCATTTCCAGCCTGCCGGCCTGCCCTGTAGATGTCACCTTGCCAGCCAATTCCTTAAAATATTAATAACTCTCTCTATATAAATATATCCATTTATATCTCTATCTCTACATGTATGACATATATATATACATATATACCTCTCTATAGCTGTATAGCTATAGATGTATACACATCTATAGAGAGATGTACATATTGTGTGTATAGTGTGTATATATACACAATATACCTATGTATACACATACACACATATAAACACATATATATGCATCTTTGTGTATGTCTATGTATCTCCAGAGCTTGGCCTTGACCCAGAGGAGATATATATATATAGCTACATCTATATATGTAGTATCTTCCATTGGTTATATTTCTCTGGAGGGCCCTGGCTAATACACTCCACTTGGACATTTTGCCAAGCCCCGGGATTTAAGAGCACAGTCTCTGGAGCCCGCCAGCCTGGAGTTGGATTCTGACCATAGTCCTTATTAGCTGTGTGATCTTGGTCAAGTAAATTCACTTCTTGCACCTGCGTTTTCTCACGCAGCGCAGGGATCCAGCAGGTGAGATTGCAGAGGGCCGAGCTCGGCGCCCGGCACAGCTGTGCTCAGTGCACAGCTCTCCACCAGCTGGGCGTGCCTGTGCTGGTGTGTGCCACTCCATGGTGTGGACTCCTGTGCATGCATGGGTCCCTGCCTGTGTCCCCTGTGTCCCATCTGCCTCCCACATCTCCATCTCACCAGCTGCTGGAGGCGGGGCTCTCGGTGGCGGTGGAGGCGGCCGGGCCTGGTGGCTATACCGCGGTACACACTGTGCTGACTGTGAACTCCGCCTCGCTGGCCATGATGTCTGTGGGCTGGATGTTGCGGTCATACATTGGGTTCTCAAATGTGGCCCGAACATTGGTGTTCTCGTGGCCGGCATAGCCATTGAACGGAACTTTGGGTCTTCTCCTGGGAATAAGAGAGTGACACAGAGAGGCTCAGGGATCTAGAGAGGCAGAGGTAGGGAGAGAGGGAGGCCTTTCTTCCTTCCAGAAGGTTGTAGGTCTCCTGAGCCAAGAAGGCTCCACCTGGTGCCCACCTTGCTGCCCACCCTCCTTTGCTGCACCTGTGCTTGTAGAGATAGAGCATGAAGCCCGCACCCTCCTCCCCGCACCTGTGCTTGTAGAGACAGAGCACCAAGCCCGCACCCTCCTCCCCGCACCTGTACTTGTAGAGGTAGAGCACGAAGCCCACGCCCCTCCTTCCCCCCACCTGTGCTTGTAGAGATAGAGCACGAAGCCCGCACCCTCCTCCCCTGCACCTGTGCTTGTAGAGACAGAGCACCAAGCCCACACCCCTCCTCCCCGCACCTGTGCTTGTAGAGATAGAGCACGAAGCCCGCGATGATGAGGGCGATGAAAGGCACCAGGATGGCGGCTGCCACGGAGCTGCTGTTGGAAGCAAAGTGGCGGCCGATGGACTCGGGGTCTGACTCCAACAGCCTGAGGTCTGCAAAGTCCCAAAGCACAAAACTCACGTCACAGCGACACAACCTGAGGTGTTGGCCCGTGTCGGCCACCCAATGCCACCGCACACTCTGGGGATGTGGGACTGAGCTTGGGATATTCCTTTCTCCAGCTCCGCGGGGTGGGGGTGGGGGAGCCTGCACGCTCACAGCCGCCACCTGCCTCCTCACGCACACAGCCCCCAGAGTCCCTCATGCTTCTGCCTTGTGTTCAGATCACATCCAGAGGATTGTATTCAGTCCTGGGGGTGATGATCGGCAGAGGAACCTGAAACCGTCTCATAGAATAAGATCTTAAAAAGGTACATGCAGCCCTTTAGAAGTTTCTAAACCTCTTTGGCTATAGGAACCTTTTTCAGACGAAACCTTACAAGGAAGCCAAAATGCAAGACAGATGAAGGCAGAGCAGCTCTGGCTGTGGGAGGGCACCAGAAGCTTCTCCTTCTGGAGGGTCTCCCCACTCAGCACTGGGGGGGGCTCAGGAGAACACGATGAGACCCTGTGGCCCCTGTTAGTACCCCTCTAACTGAGGGGGCTGGGGCTCTGAGAGGGGACAGGAAGCCAGAACAAGAGCTCCCATTTTCTGAGGCCTCCCCAGTGTGCTGGGATGGGGGGCCAGGAGCTGTCTGCAAGGCGTGAAGGGCGCTGTGTGGAAGACAGGGGTCTCAGTCCATGCAGCGCACAGGGCAGCGCTAAGGCGACTCCGGGGAGGAGCAGCGTGGGGTGGGCAGGCAGGGAGGCAGGCTGCTGCTTCGTGCGGAGAGGTGCCTTCTGGAGCTCAGAGCTGGTGGAAATGCAATGGACTGCCTGGGCAGGCAGGGCCTGGGGATGGGAGGTGTCAGCGCCTGGGTATACAGTGGCTCTCACGCACCCATGACGCCTCCTGTCTCCCCCTCCACTGCTTCCGAGAAACCAGGACTCCTCCCCGACCCAAGTCCAAGGCTGGGCACTAGAGGGTCTGGGTCAAAGCTCTGAAGCGTGGGCATTTGACATGGATGACATGAAGCGTTAGGACAAATGAGGGAAGCCTCCTTGACGCTCAGTTTTCTCTTCTGGAAAATGGGGACGACAATACCAACCTCCTAGGACTGTGCTAAGGAGGAGAGGGCATCACAGGTAAAGGTGCCCCCGAGGAACCCAAGTTGAATGCTTCAGGATGTCTTTGTTCCTTGAGGCAGAGGTGATGCCTGAGGGCTGGCCCAAGAGTGTTGCTGGGGGCTGTATCTAAGACCCAGTGTCCCTTGAGCTGGGGGCTCTCACCTCAAGGGCTGAGTGTGACACAGCTTGGCAGAGGTTGAGAGTGATATGCAGGTGTGTTTGTTCTGGGAGAGAGTTTCCATAGCTCTGGTCAGAATCTCAGAGGCGTCCATGATCCACAAGAGGCTGAGCACCGTCTAGGCCGCGGAGTCCCCAGGCCCTCCCTGCCCCAGCACCCGCGGTTTCTCTCCCTCCCCACGAGCTCACACTCCCCGGGGGCAGACGCTAGTTACCAAGTCTTTGAAAGCCGAACTGCCCAAAGCCTTGGCCCTTGACGGAGCCTTGGTAGATGAAGGTGCCTCCGGAGGACTCTGCGGAGACCTGTGATGGTGTGGAGCAGAAAGAACAAGATGGGAGGCATGCTAGAAGGATCTAGAACTCCTGCTGGCCAGGTCAGGCCAGGCCAAAGACACGCTCATTGGCACATGCTGCCAGACGAGCTGGTGTCACCCACCAACCCGCTGCTCCGACACACAGACGTTTGCCCACACCTAGGCAAGGGGGGCGCGACTGACTAGCCGGGGTGGGGCGGGGGCACCAGCTACTTGTATGAGGTGGGGGGAGATTTTTTTCTACTGGTCACATCACTTAATCTGTCTGTGCTGCAGTTCTCATTTGGAAAACGGGAATAATGACAGCAGCTGCTGTGAGGATAATAATATGGATAATGTTAGTATAGACAAAGCACCAAGAACCCTTAATTAACAGGCCTTAGATGTGTGTTGGCTACTATCTCTAGGATGAAAAATTGACTTTTGGGGCACCATGGAACAGACTGAACCATGATTAAAATGTCCCTGGCAGATTAAATGCCCTTCAGAGAGGTCATCACAGTTCCAATGGCTGTGAAGTTTTTGGAGGCAGTTGGGGACTGCTCCCCCGGCACCGTGCCCCGCAATGCTCACCTGTACACTGGGCCTCAGCTGCCAAGGGCACTCTGTGGGGCTGCTCGTGCCACCGCCTACTTCCAACTCTCACTCCTTTGCCAGGGCAGCCTGTCTCGTGTGCTCTAGGCTGACCGCCCCACCTGTACCCCCAAACACACCCCACACCCTGGCTGGCTGTAGAAAGGCCCCGACGGTTGGTGGCTGCCCTAGGTCGTCACTGCAGCTGCTTCTGGCCCACCAGAGCCCCATCCTCGTTTTGCCCTGGGCCTGCACTCCACGTCCCCACTCTGACCTTCCCAGCACGCTGGATTCTCTTGTTCCTGCGCAGCTTCGGGACCAACCCTGTTGAAAGCGGCCTGTCCTTGGATATCCAAGGGGGAATCATAAAATACCCCTGGGAATACCAATGAATTACCCGTATGTGCCAGTCCCTGGAGAAGCCTCTTGGTTCTCCTTACATGTTTATAAAGCAAAGTCACTGGAGCCACAGCCCCCTGCCAACCAGTCCTGTCCATGAGAATGCACCGTGTCTCCCCACCTCTCTGCTGCTCTGGCCCACTATGACCTCTCACTCCTCTCTTGCCTTCCACTTCCAGCACCAACAATCCAATCCACTGGGGGTCCCGGCTTCCAGCTCAAGAATGCCCTCTAAGGGAATAAGTCTTTCCCGCAGGAAACACATGAAAGTCCTATCCCTCTCCCCATGTCCTGGTCTCTCAAGCTGTGCGAAATCACCCACAATCCACATCCTCAAGTGTGAGTGGCTGTCCAAGGTAGTCACGTGGGACTCACCACCTTCTGCCAGCTCCCACCCACCACACCATCACCTTCGACGTGCTTGAATTCCCTCTTCTGCCCTGACCTCCAAGCCCTTGCTTCCTGCTCCAACAGCAGAACTTACTCCATCTCTCTGAGATGTGGGGACCCTCTGGACTCTGAGTCCTCTGCCCTGTGTATCTTTTCCTTTGCCCGCTTCATGAGCAACGAGGACTCCATGCTGCCCTCAGTCCTGGCCCCACAGGAAACCTCCTCCCAAGTTTCCATGTTGATCCTGGGAGTTTCCACACCCTTCTTCCCGGCAGTGACCTGGGGATCGGGGATGGGGCAGGGTACAAGGAGGACAATTTGTCGAACTTACATGCCCATCTAAGGCCCAGTGGTCATCTTTGAACTTGTTCACAAAGATCTCCGCAGGCCCTGTAATCTGGTAAACCTGGAGCAGGAGATGGAAATCTTCTTTCTTGTAAATTCCTGGGGAAAGGGAGTACAGGGGGCACACTTGAAAGATCTGGGAACATTTCAAAACCTGAATTTGTGGGTATGTGGGTGCAAGTTTCTGAGTGGAATTTCAGGTGTAGATGTTAACATAAACATTCCCTGCATACTTTTAAGTAGGTAAGTCTAGTGGTGCATGAGAGTTTGTACAGGCCGAACGTGAGTATACACAAGAACGTGCATAAGTGTGTGAATAACTGGATTACCGGGTTGAGATTGTGATCCTGTTTACACATGCACGTGTGAGAATATAATTTTGCGTATTGTAATCTGTCTGTTAATGCACTGGTATGCTTGTAATTCAGCGGGTACAGGGATGCCTGAAGGCATGCGTGCACACGGGAGGATGTGCGTGTGTTTACGACTATGTATGAGAGCAGCTGAGCGAATGTGATTGTGCAGCTGTAGAGCTGTGTGCACGTATGAACGAGTGGATAGGATTATATGTGGGTTGTGTATCCATATGTTCATTCATTCTCTCATGAATCCATTTTTCTACCCATCTATTCAATCAACATTCATTTTCTAAGATAGTTTTTCTGATTATAGAAAGATTGAAAATTGGGTACATTTTGGAAAATGCAGAGATTCATGAAGAAAAATAAAATCTTTCCTGACTGCACTACTAACAAATAACCACTGTTAACATGATGGTATAAATACTGCCAGTTTTCTTTATGAATATAATTTTTTTCTAAAAAAGGGAGTCTTTTGAAAAATACATTATAATGAGTACATTTCCCAAAAGTTGGCATAATATTTTATCCAGCAGATATATTATTATATAATTAAGATACCCATTTCTTTATTTTTGGGACATTTTCTAGTTCTAATTTTTATGTAATAAAAGTGTCCCTGTAATAGGAACATCCTTTATCATAAATATTTGACTCCCTTCATATCAATTTCTTATGATAAAAATGTTAGAAATGTAATTAATGGGTCCAATCATTTTCAAGGATCTTGACATAAATTGCCAAATTATTTTCTAGAATTGTACTATTTTAGCCATTGATCACTGATGAATCTGACCAACACTAAAATTTATCACTTAAAAAACTCTGAGTTGATAGGATAAGTAGAAACTGACATTTTGTGTTTACTTTTATTTTCCTTTTGATTACTGCTGAAAAAGATTTTTATTTTGTTTGTTGACTGATTGTACTTTGGCTTCTGAGAACTTTCTACCCCTATTTTTGGCTCAGTTTTAGGGATATCAGTCTCTTTTCTCTTTGTTTATAAGAGTTCTTTACATATTCAAGCTATTAAGGCTTGCCATCTAACCACTTCCCTTTCAACAGTGGTGCTTTATAAGGCAAATAAATATGAATAGACACCTCCCGTTTCCCTGACCACCAGGGATTTCACCACTAAGAAAGTCTGAGCCTTGCATGACAGTCCCATGCAATGACATTGCTCATCCTTGCAAAGGGGTGTGCCCATCCTCCTTTGCCACCTACGCTACTGTCACGGAGGTGGCCTGCTCCTTACCAGCCAGGTGCAGCTCCACACCACTGTGGTCAATCATGGTGGCGTTGACCTTGCTGTTGGCAACCTGGAAACCAGTCACTCTGAGCATGGCCGGCTGCTTCTTCCCCTGGTACTCATAGGCCCCTTTCCACAGTGAATTCTTGGCAAAAACATCCCCAGGAACTAGAGGAATTGAGAAACAGACATGAGAGGGACTTTGTGTGTGCTGATAGATTCGGGGCCACCTGATCCCAGTTCACTCCTTGAAATCGTTTCCTTTCCCCAAAGCCTAACGTGGGGAAGGTGGTAGAATGCTCTGGCCCCTTGCAATCCCCTTGTGTCTCAGACAGGATGGGTGCAGGTGACTGAAATCAGTATGTCGAAGAGATGTCTGCACTGCCATGCTCACTGCAGCGCTATTCACAACAGTCAAGATAGGGAAACAACCTAAGTGTCCGTCAATGCATCAATGGATAAAGAAAATGCGATATAAATATATACACACAAGGGAATACTACACAGCTTTTAAAAAGAAGGAAATTCTGTCATTTGCAACAAGATGGATAAACCTGGAGGACATTATGCTAAGTGAAATAAGCCAGGCACAGAAACACTAATACTGCACGATTTCACTTATCTGTGGAATCTGAACAAGTTGAACTCATAGAAGCAGGGAGCAGAATGGTGGTTACAGAGGCTGGGATGGAGGGTGTGAAGATTGTTAAAGGGTACAAAATTTTAGTTAGAAGGAATAAGCTTTAGTGAGCTATTGCACAGCATGGTGATTGCAGTTAATGTATATTTTAAAATTGCTGAAAGAATAGATTTCAAATATTCTTGCCATAAAAAATGATAACTAGATGAGATGATGGGTATGTTAATTAGCTTGATTTAATCATTCCACAATATATTACAACATCACATTGTATCCCATAAATACATACATTTATTATTTTTTAATTACAAATAAAATACAAAGAAAGAAAGCAAAGAGAGGGAACTAGAAGGAAGTGAGAGAAGAAGAAAAGAGAAAAAAAGGAGTGAAGAGGTTTAAAAGATGGAGACCAGAAAGAAGTGAGAAGAGAGAGGAAACTGCCATGTCAGTATAGCGTGGTGGGCACGAACACGGGCTAATGAAGTCAGAAGAGCTGGATTATAGTCTTAGCTCTGTCACCTATCAGCTGTTTGATCACGTGCAAGAGCCTTAAGTTTCTCACCTGTACAGGATACACTTGTAATGCCTGTGGGTGGGAGCCATCCACTGAACTCATTAGGGTTAAATGATCTAATGTAAATTGTATGCTACATAATGTTTGGTTACAAAAGCACCTAATAAGTGATAGCTACTAAATTTGTCATTTACCCTCGTAATTCTCTATGGCAAGTATTATAATCCCTATTTTTTTTTAGATGGGGTCTTACTCTGTCATCTAGGCTGAAGTACAGTGGTGATATCATAGCTCACTGCAGCCTTGAACTCCTGGGCTCAAGCGATCCTGAGCTTCCCACCTCAGCCTTCCAAGTAGCTGGGACTACAGGCACGCCCCACCATGCCTGGCTAACTTTTAAATTTTTTGTAGAGATGGGGTCTTGTTATGTTACCTAAGCTGGTCTTGACCTCCTAGCCGCAAGTGAGCCTCTCGCTTTGGCCTCCCAAAGTGCTGGGATTACAAGCATGAGCCACTGTGCCTGGTCTATGATCCCTATTTTACCAGAAGGTAAACTGAAGCTTAAAGGTGAAGCTCATGTGCCCACAGCTGGTCAGTGACCAAAATGGCACTTGAATTGAGTTTACGGCGCCAGATCTAGTCTTGTTTCCTGTAACATACACATGCTGATGCAGAAAATAAAAGTAGAAGGTTCAAAAATGGACGTGGTAGTCTGTAAGATTTTGCCTCGGTCAGGCCGCACCTGTAGTTCTGTGTTCAGTTCTGGATGTGACACTTTCAAAGACATAATACTTGTCTTAAAAATGTAACCATTTCCAGGATGCCCCTTGGGCAGGACTGGGTCTATGTGTCTGTGTGACTATACCCTGGCCAGCCTGTGCCAGGAGAGGCTAGAGTAATGAATGGTTCTAGAGCTGGAAGCTTTGGACATATTTCTGGAAGGCCCTAGCTCTCTCTTCTGGATGAGGTTTCTGCTTCCTTCAGGCTCACTTCTTCCCAAAGCCTGCCTGGGCTGGGGAGGTGCGTGGGGAAATCTGCCAGGGTCTGTGGATAGTTTTCATGCCCTCCCACTGGGCACTCAGCAATTCATGTGCGTGATTCTGACTAGCTGGGTGAGAAAAGTAACACCAGCCTTTTAAGCCAAAGATTTGAACCATACATACTTGAGGCTTGTGTGAGTGGCGGCTCCCGGGCGGTGTTGACGGGTCTCCCACTGGGCCGGACCTCTGCTGGGGAAAGAGAATGGAAGGAAACAGGTTCAGACTCAGGTTCACACTCTACTGGAAAAATAAGGGTCACCCATCTGACATTAGGTCAAGGGGTTCTTTGAGATCTTGGTGTGGACTTATTTTCTTAGACCAGGAGGTGGACTGCTTTGATGGTCTGGTGACACTGTAGACCTCTCTCAGAATAATAAAATACAAAGAATCACAAAGGAAATCAGTTTTATTGGTTACAGTTATTAAAATGTTCAATAAGACATTAGGATATGGTTGTATATATGATGCCATACTACTGCATTAAATAGCAGGATTTAGCAGCAAGTCTAGTAACAACTATAATCTTAAAGTAGTCAGGAACATTAACAATATTTCATGATATTGGTAACAATTGTAAAATAATACACAAATGTCTGCAGTTTCTACTGGTGACAAATTTACAGGTATTGCCAACAATACTATGGGTTGTTGTCTACATTCGAAATTAAAGGAAATGTGAAATTTCAGTAAGAGGGAAAGGAAAGCAAAGATGTATATTTTCCCATCCTCATTCACAGACTCCCTGAACGCCTTATCAAAAACTTTGGGTTAAAAGCCCTGTCGTTGACTCTGCTTTCCTTCCAGATACTGTGCGTGAAGGAGGAACTTCTACCCAGCAAAGGTGAGCCCCTTGAGCCCTGGTGGGTGTGTTGGCGGAGTGCTTTCCTCCCTTGGAGGGATGGTGTTAAGACTGAGAAGGCTTCACGGGCAAAGGCAAAGGCAAAAGCCTTGGGCCTGAGGCAGAGAGCTTAGACTTCAGGTCCCTGCTGAGCCACTTAATGATTGTGTGACCTTGACTAGTCACTTGACTACTTAGAGTCTTCATCTATTCATTGAAACATGGAAAAATACTAAAACATTCACAGGTCTATGATGAATAAATGAGGTTATGAATATGAAAGTCATGGTCAGTCAATATTAACATCTTTTCTTCTTTTGCAGAGAAACAACAGAAAACCTGCCTTGTCACCAAGTAAGGGCACACTCCCCACTGTTTCCCTTACAGGGGAGACACAGGTCTTTAGCCAAACCCTTCCATCTTTGGAGGTCAGCTCTGAGTATACGGAAAGCCATGGAGAAATTTTCCATAAAGACTCAGTGAGAGTATACTTCTGAACAGAATGCTTTATCGTCTCAGCATTTGTAAGATGAAGGGAGCAAAGAGGGAGAAAGAATTTTACGTGCAAGACACTGTGCTAGGCACTTATTCATGTTATCTCATTTACTCCTGCTGTTGAAACTGTGAAGTAGAGATTATTGTCCCCATTTTATAGAAGAGAAACTTGCTGAGAGGCAGAAAGGTGAAGGGGCTTGCTCAAGATCATACATTAAGGGGTTGAGTTGGGATTCAACTGCATCTACTGCATCTAAAACATTTTATATTTTTAAATATGAGTACCTATAAATAACATGAAAAAGAATAAATTACTTAAGAATAAATGGAACCAAACAAGGCAAGACTTGTACACTGAAAATTATAAAACACAACTGAAAGAAATTAAAGATTTAAATAAACAAAAAGACATTGCATGTTCATCGATTAGAAACCTTAATATTGTTCAGATGGCAACACTCCCCAAATTGATTTATAGATTCAGCACAAGCCCTGTCAAAATCCCAGCTATTTTCCAGAAATTGACAAGCCAACCTTAAAATCCATATAGAAATACAAGGCAAAAGAAGAACAATCTTGAAAAATAAGGACAAAGTTGGAGGATTGGCAATTCCCAATTTCAAAACTTACTACAAAACTAAAGTAATCAGGGCTGGGTGGTGACAGCACACGATAGTCATAGAGATCAGTGGAATAGAATAGAGAATCCAGCTATAAACTCATACATTTATGGTCAAATGCCTTTTGACAGGGATGTCAAGACAATTCAGTGGGGGAAAGAACAGTCTTTCCAACAAATGGTTCTGGAACAACTGGATATCCACACACAGAAGAATGAATTTGTACTCCAACCTGACACCATAAAAATTAACTTAAAGTGGATCAAAGGTATAAATGTAAGAGATAAAACTATAAAACTCTTAGTGTAAAACATAGGCAAAAATATTCATGACCTTGGGTCAGGCAAAGTTTCTTAGATATGACAGCAAAAGCATAAGAAACCAAAGGAAAAATAGATAAATTGGATGTCATAAAAATTGAAAAGTTTGGTGCTTCTAAGGATACCAACATAAAAGTGAAATGACAACCCACAAAATGGGAAAAATTTGCAAATCACGTGTCTTATCAGGGACTTGTATTCTAAATATATAAAGAACCATAAACAGACAACTCAAGTAAAAAAAATGGACAAAGGATTTATATAGACATTTCTCCAAAGAAAATATACACACATAAAAAGATGCTCAGCATCATTAGCCATTAGGGAATATAAATCAAAACTACAATGACACAGGCAACAAAAGCAAAAATAGACAAATGTTATTACATCAAACTAAAAAGCTTCTGCACAGCAAAGGAAACAATCAATAGAGTGAAGAAGAGACAGTCTATGGAATGGGATAAAATATTTGCTAACCAAACATCTGATAAGAGGTTAATATCCAAACTATATAAAGAACTTAAACAACTCAATAGCAAGAAAATAAAGAATCTGATTAAAAAATGAGCAAAGGACCTGAATAGATATTTCTCAAAAGAAGCTATACAAATAGCCAACAAATATATAAAAAAAGTTCAGCATTACTAAGCATCAGAGAAATGCAAATTAAAACCACAATGAGATATCATCTCATACCTGTTAGAATAGCTATTGTCAATAAGGTTAAAAACGACAAGTGTTGGTGAGGATATGGAAAAAAGGGAAGTTATGTATACTGTTGGTGAGAATGTAAATTAGTAAAGCCACTATGGAAAACAATATGAAGGTTTCTCAAAAAATTAAAAATTGAACTACCATACGATCCAGCAATCCCACTACTGGGTATATATCCAAAGAAAATGAAATCAGTAAGTCAAAGAAATATGTGCACTCTTATGTTTGTTGCAGCATTATTTACAATAGCAAAGATAGACAAAAAGCCTAAATGTCCATCAATGAATCAATGGAAAAAGAAAATGAGATATATATATATATCATATCATACACAGACACACACACACACACACACACACACACACAATGGAAAACTACACAGCCTTAAAAAGAAAACACATTCTGCCATTTGCAATAACATGGATGAACCTGGAGGATATCATGGTAAGTGAAATAAGCCAGGCACAGAAAAACAAATATTGCATAATCTCATTTATATGTGGAATCTAAAAAAATTGAACTCATTCATAGAAGCGGAGAATAGAATGGTGGTTACCAAGGGCTAGGGCAGGTGGGAGGAAGGAAATGGGGAGATGTTGGTCAAAGGATGCACAATTTCACTTAGACGGGAGGAGATCTATTGTACAAAATGGTGACTATAGTTAATAACAACATATTTATTGTATACTTGAAAATTGTTAAGTAGATTTTGTATTCTCACCCCCCAAAATGGTAAGTATGTGAGCTAATGGATATGCTAATTTGCTTGACTTAGCCATTCCACAATGTATATGTGTATCAGAACATCATGTTGTATACCATATTTGTTTATGTGTCAATTAAAAATTAATTGGGTGAAAAAACTCAAACAAAAAAAACCACAATAAGATACCACTTTACACTACTTAGGATGAATCTACTAAAAAATAATGGACAATAACAAGTGTTGACAAGGACGTAGAGAAGTCGGAACTCTGGTGCCTTGTTGGTGGGAATGGAAAATGGTGCAGGCACTTTGGAAAACAGTTGGACAGGTCCTCAAAATGTTACACATAGAATTCCTACCCCTAGATATGTAGCCAAGAGAATCAAAAACATATCCATACAAAATGTGCACATGTATGTCCACAGCAGCATTATTCATAATAGCCAAAAAGTGGAAACAAACTAAACGTCCATCAATGGATGAAGGGATAAATGGAAAGTGGTATAGCCGTCTACAGAACACTATACAACCATAAAAAGGGATGAAATTCTGATACGTGCTATCACATGGACGATTCTTGAAAACAGCACGCTAACTGAAATCAGCCAAACAAAAAAGGACAAATACTGAATGATTCCACTAACATGTGGTGTGTAGAATAGGCAAATTTATGGAGACAGGAAGTAAAATAGTGGTTACCGTGGGCTAAGGAAAAGGGGGAATGGAAAGTTATTGTTTAATGAGTACACAGTTTCTGTTCTGGATAATGAAAAAGTTCCGGAAATGGACGGTGGTGATGGTTGCACAGTAACATGAATATATCTAATGCCACTCAATTATACACTTACAATCTTATATTATGTATATTTTGCCATAATAAAAACTTAAAAAAATAAATGTACTTAAAAACCCTTATACCACTATCATATGTGGAAAATAAATATTATTTTCCATAAGAAAAAGAAATTTACAACAGTTCATACAATGAAAACGAAACAATGTAATTAAGTTCTGGTTCTGAAGGCTTCTCCCTGCAGGGCAGGACAGCACAGTAGTTAAGAGCATGATCCTCAAGTTAGACTGTCAGGGTTTGGATCTGCAGCTCTTACCCTTTACCAGCTGGTGGCCTTGGACAGGTTAATTAACGTCTCTGTGCCCCAGTTTCCCCACATATTAAATGGGGATACAAATAGCCCCTCCCTTGTAGGTGCTTGTGAGGATGAAAAGAGTCAAGTCACACAAAGTGCTCAGGACAATGCCTGGCAGAGGGTGAGATCGGCTCCTGTAAAGCAGAGTTCAATGCTATTCCAGCACCACACTGATCCTTTACCCTTGCTCCTTTCACTTAAGACTAGACTCAGGCATCACCTTCCCCAGGAAGCCCTCCCTGACTTCTTCCCTGCCCCCTTTGGTGCCCTTCCTTTTCCTTCCCACAGCATTTGGGGCATCTGCATGTTCCTTTGGGCACTGCTGTATCTGATGACGTGTCTGTCTGCTCCAGCAGAGCGTGAGCTCCTTTAGGGCAGGGTTGTGTCAGTCACCTCTGAATCCCCCGTTCCCAGCACAGGCAGGGCGCAGTGATGATGCGCAGTTGAAGAACTGAGAATGACTGAATGGAGAAGAGGGGGAGGGAGGCCTGGGACATCTTGGTAACCGCAAGGGACCCATGGGTGGCTGCTGTTTAATCAGGGTTATAACATGCGTAAGGCATTATTCCAGTGTGGTGGGAGGAAGAGCTTTTCTCTGCCCGAGGGTTGAGCACCATCCCGTGAGAGCGTTTCAGTTCGGGCAGAAGGCGCAAGTACAACTTGGGATTGGTTCAGTATGTGCCTCTTAGACTGCTCTGGTTTGGTCTCCTGGAGACTCAACACCTTAGGACATCAGAAGCAGGACCCAGCTCCTGGAAATCCGGCTTCTTCCTTCTCTTTTGCCCTCTTTCAGCTCAAGGCCAGCCGTCACCTTCGGCTTCCCACACTGGGGAGGTAACCGCGCGGGCACACTCACCCAGGCAGATGGGCGGCTTGCCTGTCCAGCTGCCATCCGCCTTGCAGGTGCGGTGCTCGGAGCCCCCCTTGAGGGAGAAGCCCTCCTGGCAGGAGTAGATGAGCGTGTAGCCCATGGAGGGCAGATCCAGGGCCCCGACGTGGGCGTGGGTTGGCGTCTCCGGCTGCCTGCAGTGGTGGGCTGGGCGAGAGGAAAGACAGTGTTGGACCTGCGGAGATTAGGGGCTTTAGGGGGCCTTTCGACCCTCCCCCTGTTCCTTTCCCTCCGAGGCGCTTTCATGCCCAGCCTCCCCCTCCCCAGTCATGCCCCCCAACCCCAAGCCCTGTGTCTGTAGGAATCGCCAAAGTGGAGGTCAGGTGGACATTGGCTTGGTCAGCCCTGCAGGAGCCGAAGCCTGCAGCACTTCTGAGGAAGGAGTCACCATGGTCAAAAGCCTGATATCTCCACCCTGGGGCCTGGCCTTATAGTTGTTAGTTTTTGCTGCCACTGGATAGTTTTTTCTTTACTAAGGTACATGGATTGCCTTGAGATTGGCTCTTGTGTGGAAATGTCTTCTGTGAGGCCCCAAGGGGTAAAGACTACAAAGAGACCAATATCAGCCCAATAGGAGGGCTCTTCCCTAATTACTCTTCCTAAAATAGCAACCCACCCTATTGAGAAGTTGTGGGCTCCCTGTCATTCAGGGCATTCAAGCATGTCCTGGACACCTGGCTGGGGCAAGAGGAATTTTCTCGGGGTGTGGTGAAGTCTGCACTCACGGACACAGTCGGGCGGGGTTCCGCTCCAGGTCAGGTTGGGGAGGCAGGTCCTGGTGGTGGAGCCCTGAAGCAGGTAACCTTTCTGACAACGGAAGAGCACTGTGCTTCCAACCTGTGGCAAGGACAGAAGGTCCTGTTGTCCCCTTCCCTCCAGCAGGGCATCAGATGCCTGTCCCTTGACCACTCACTCTCCCAAGACCCAACTCTGACCCAGCTGTTGCCGCTGCCTGCAACACCCCTCTTCTGCTTCTCTGCCTGGGCCACTCTTATTTATCCACAAGGCCTTGTCCGATCCCCCGAGGCATGCTGTAATGTTACACTCTGTCACCTGGGTCAGAATCAGAAACTCCTGGATCTGAGTTCTGGCTTCTGTGTTTACTCATGACAGTCCGCATGGAACTCTGCAAACCTTAGTCTTCCTCTGCGTGAAGCAGGGATGACCATCCCTGCCACAGCTATGCTGGGATGTCATGACACTCAAGTGTGATGGTGGATTTGACAGCATTTTATAAAATGTGAACAACAGCACAAAATAAAATTATCACTTTGTGTGTGTCCCTTTCTTCTATGAAACCGTAAATTCCTTAAGAGCAGGTGACTTCCTTACAGATATGGCCCCCACAGAATCCGGCGTTGTGCTTTGTAGATATCTGTTGACAGAACCGCCAGCTCCCTCTGTCCCTCCCTCTGCTCAGCTATGTTCCCAGCCTTGACTCCCCACAAGACCCTCACCGTCCCCGACACTCCTGCTGCCGCCAGCTCCATCCCTCCTCCTCCCGTCCACTGGCATGATGCGGCAGATCAGTTTCCCACCCTGCAACTCGGATCATACTACTCCCCAGCTCGAACACTCATGTGTCCCTGTCACCTGCTGGAGCAAATGCAAACGCAACCTGTAACTCTTAATTTCCACTCCCTTCCTCCACGCCCGACCTGTTTCTGTCTTGGATCTCATCATGTGATTCAGCAAATGGCACCTTTATCCCCGCAGCTGTGCAAATCAGGCACCTCAAGTCATCTGTGAATCCCTCCACTCCTCAGTGAGACCTGTCAACGCGCCCCCTCGGTTCCACCTACAGAACGTGCCCTGAGCTCTTCAGTTCTCCCCGCCTGCGCCGTCACTGCCACGCTTGTCTCCACCCAAGTCACGATGGCAGTGTGCTCCTTGTCTAAGTGCTTCTATTCTTAACCCCGTTATTCATCCTCTGCCCAGCAGCCTGAGCGATATTTCAAGTGATGGATCAGATCAGTCACCTTCAAGTGACATTTAGAATAAAATCCAAAATATTTATCATGGCCTCAAGGCCCTGCATGACCATGGCTCCCTCTTTGCGAAAATCATTATGTGATATCTGAAGCATACAAAGGATATGGGGAACATACATGAGTGTGATTAATAATAGAGTGACACTGAGGCTGAGCGAGAACATGACGAGCACGACTGTGACGATCTGGGTGCGCCTTCCCCGCTCCATTCCTCAGCTCCCGTTGGTGGTAACCGCTGTCTTGAATTTTGTGTATTTAATTTCCTTGCCTTGTTAAGAATAATTCTATCACATATGTGTGTACCTATCTCTAAACCATTTAGTAAGTTTTTGATGGTTTTAATCCTTCTGAAAATAGTGTCATACCACCTTTGTCATTCAATAGTATGTTCCTAAGATTCGTGCATGTTCTGAAGAGCTGTATGTAGTTCATTCATTTTCACCGCTGTATAATAGTCCACCATGAGACTAGACCACAGTTTTTCTCGTTTCTTGGTAACATGTACGAGAGTGTCCCTGGGATGCGTTTCCAGGAGTGGAAACTCTGGGTCACAGAGTGGGTGCGTGTTTACCTTTACAGGCCAGGGCCAAGGTGTTTCCAAACCTTGCGCAGCTCTCTGACCTCATCTCCTTCTCCTGGTGCTGCAGACCCGCTGGCTGGCCTGGCCTGCTTTCTAGCCCCTGCCCTGGTAAGCACTCCCCTGCCTCAGTGCTCCTTTGCCCCAGCCATTCGCTCGGCCAGGAACGTCACCTCACTCTGCACAGGGCTACCCCTTCTCACTGCGGAGGCCACAGTTCAAATGTCACCTTTAGGAGGGCTCTTCCCTAATTACTCTTCCTAAAATAGTAACCCACCCTATTTGCACCCCTTTAATGAGTAGCGTCCAGTGCTCTCGGGGGTTAACTTGTTGGTTTATTTGTTTCTCATCACCGGCCAGGCAGCTCCACGAGAGCAGGCGCCTAGGCTGTGCTGTTCCTACTGTAATTCCCACTCCTAGAACAGCGTATGGCTGCAAATACGTGCTGGATGAGTACAGACTGGGTGAGTAATTGCCTTGCTTGACTAGATCTCAGCCTGTCATTCCTGATATTTTTGTGGGCACGTCTTGGGCTGCAGCTAACTGTCCTGCTTGAACACACATGTACTGTCCTGCTTTCTTTTCTCTGTTCACAGTGTCCCATTCTGGGCTTTCCAAATCCTCTCCTTCTCCCAAAGCTCATCATCCTGAAACGAGCCCATGGGGCCTGCACCCTGACGGGCATGTGTGGCACATGCTGCCCTGCTGCCCTGTGTGAGCCCAGTGTCTGTAGGTTGGCTGCGGGCACCTTGAGGACAGAAGGTCTGTCTGTCTCCCTCATTTCTGTATTTCCATAGCTGCCCTGCCCCACCCCAAAGAGGCAGATCCAAGGTCTTGTCCTCCCCTAGGGCTGTCCTGAGGACGGTCCCCAGGTCCTCTTACGCTGACAGTGACAGGAAGGGACAGGGAATAGGAAGGCACCATCTTGGCTGACCCCATTACCTGGTAGCCCTGAGAATTGTTCTGAATCCCAAACTGCGGCACGCCAGGGTCTGCACACATGGTCAGCGTCGGATCTGGATTGTCGAAACAAAGACACAGGTGACAGGGTCACTGCAGCTGTCACTGCCTCGTCTCACTCTGAGGAGCAGGGGCAGGAAAGGAAACAGAGCCACATCCTGGCCTCCTTGCCTTTTGAGACCCCCACCCAAATCACAGCCCTGGCTCACTACTCGGTTCCCCAGAGCAGGTGAGCTCCGGCTGTTTTGCACCCTGCTCCGAGAAGCTCAGAGGAGGACTTGTTTCCTTTTGCAGGTGAGACCACTGAAGACAGGGAAGGATGGTCATCATCTCAGGCCCAAACGAAGGTTCTCCCCAGCTGGGGCGCTCTCTGCCGCAGTCCCCTCTCACCTATGCAGCTGGGCTGAGTGCCGCTCCACGTCCCATCTGACTGGCAAAACCTGCGTGGAGAGCCCACCAGCACCAGCGGGGGATGGCAGGAGTAGGAGACAGACGACCTGTAGGAGAAGCCTCGGTCCTCTCTCCTCCCGTGGGCTGGGACACCAGGGTCTCCGCAGAACACAGCTGGGAAGACAAAGGGAGAAAGGCAGGTCAAGTGGCTTTCTAGAACCCATCTCCCTCTCCCACACCCCCACCTTTGTCCCCTGCATTGTTTTCCTCCCGGTTCTGCTTGAACTCTGGGAACTGGCAGCCCCAGGTAAGCGCTTACACCTGCCTCAGTGCCACTGCTCTGTGGTCCCTCTCCCTCCTGCATTCCAAGGAGCACCACTACAGGAAGTTCAGGACATTGAAAAAATTAAAATTTACAATCCCACTATCCCAAACTTCTTTCCATTTTCACACACATTCTCTTCTAGTCTCCCTTCAGTTGTATGCGAACTTCACAGAGCTGAAAACCAAAGTCCATGTGATTATGAATCTTGCTTCATTCACTTAATATTGTCCTGCGAACACTTTCCACATTCATGACATCATTATCACTTATTGGCTGCCCAATTTTGCAATGGTTGGTTGTACCGTAATTACATTTTGTCATAACTATGATATTGAACATGTTCTATTATTATAAAGTTATATATGGCTTTTCCTTCACATGTATTATTTTTTTAGGAGAACTTTTTAAGAGTGGACTTATTATTTTTAAAGGTTTGAACATGTTCGCAGCTCTTGCTGTGCACTGTCAAATTTCTTTCTCCAAAGGATGCACATTTACACTGCGGTGGGGAGTGTGCGGGCGTATCCATTTCGGTCAGGTCATGTTAGCATCAGACAGCATCATTACACATTGACTACCAAACGCAAAGCCCCCAACATCTCTTCAAGCATTACTTTACACTGCAATGTGAGTGTGTGTGTGCACAGAGTCATGAGGTTCACGTGCAAAATAAAAGGAAAGCTGTACCTGCAGCCTATGCCTGGAAGCTGGGGAGTCCAGGCGAACCATTAGCAGTCAATTAAAAGCTGAGTTGATCTGAAGTTACCGTATCCAGGAGGGACAAGAAATACAAAGGCTGACAAGTAAAGAGTGAGTGGTTCAGCCTTTCTAATAAGCAATGTGATGCCAATTAAAGTAATGTCTTTTTAAATGTCAGACATTTAAAGATGTCTTTTTAAATGCCTCAGGCTGGTAAATATTTTAAAAATTGGCACAATCCATTGTTGGTGAAGGTGTAATCAAGGAACATTCTCCTAACTGCTGTTGGTAATGTAATATGGGACACTCTTTCTAGAAGACAGTTTGGGAAAAGCAGTCAAGAAACGAAGAGTGACTGTCATGGCCCAGAATTCTCACTTCTAGGACTTTACCGTAAGAGTAAAAAAAAACACGATTTTCAGGGATATTTATTGCATTACAGCATCTAACATAATTAAATTAGAGATGACCTAAATTCATCACCAGTAGGAGATGATTAAACAAGTAGTGGTGTCTACAACAAGGAAATTCTCTGAAGCTGTTAAACGTGATGACGCGTAGATCAGTATTATCGAAGGTGTTGAAGGAAAGGTTTTGGCGGCCTACCAATGGATGCAAGTTAGGAAATTGTACGTACAGCACAGCCCAATACCATTCATAGGAAACTGCACCCAAATCGCTATAGATGCAGAGATGCACAGGGAACCATGTATTAACAGAAGCACAATCAGAAGCTTAACTGTGGTTATCACTGGGAAGTGATGAGTTGGATGGTTTTTACTTTCTTCTTTGTATTTTCTAACGTAGTATAAATTCTTTTTATGGTGACCATAACTCATCATTAAAAAGCAATTCAGCTATTTATCCAGAGGACAAGCAAGATTGTTGAGTCCAGACTCAACTGTGAGCCTTTACTCCCATCTGCACATTTCCCCGGTGGTATGTGAAGGTTGGTAGGAATAAAATGCGCCAAATGCCTGTGTCCACTTTGGGGCAGGTGGCCCTAAGCTCTGCTGAAATTCCCAAATGGAAGCAAATTTTCAGAGGTACCCAGTGTCATGAGCATGTGGATGGTTTTCTGCAGAATTAGATAAATGCCGATTAGAAAGAAAAATTAGCTCCTGCTGTTTGTCCAAAGCATGGGCATAGCCAAACCTTCCAGAGCCCATTCATAGGTGTAACGAAGAGTAAGGGACCTGGAACCTCAGTAAGGAATGAGCCCTGGAATGGACTTGGGGTTCTTCAGGATACAGCTGGGCTAGGTGGATAAAAACTAAAGTATCTCACCAGAAAATCGAAGATCCCCCAGAAGTCTTTTCTGTGCAGGGTATTTTCCATGAAGACAGATACGTTTCCAGCCCTGGATGCCCCCAGATCTTTGGGTACCAGCCCATCCAGCTAACAATCTTCAGGTCGAAAAACACCTCCTTTATCTCTGGCTTAATTTCTTTCCACTGTGACTCTAGACAATGTCTGAGGCCAGGGCTCAATTAAGGTATTCTCATTTTTCTTACTCTAACCTTCCCTCCTTTTTATTAGTGTCTTTGATGAAGCGCCTCTCCAACTTAGGGGAGGGGAGTACCCACTCTAGGCCTTCCAGCAGCCCAGCTCTGAGGCCAGCAGGGGAAGGAGCCATCAGGTAGGAGCGACTTACGGAAACACTGAGGCAGCTCTCCGGTCCAGGATCCGTTTCCCTCGCAGGTGAGCACCGCGGGCAGGGAGAGCTGGTACCCCTCCAGGCAGGCGTAGGTCACGCTGGAGCCCCACGTGAAGTCAGACCCCACCACCTTCCCATTAGGGATGAGCTGAGGCGGCATGCACATGATAGCTGGAGGGAGACCAGAGGAGGCTGAGCACTGGTGCTGTCCTGGGGAGACCAGCCCCCATCACCATCATTGATATCCCTGGCTACCTCTCACCTGCTGGTGTCTGGGCTAAGCAGGAAGAACCAGAAAGGACTCCTCCCTCTACTGTGGAAGTCTGGTCTTCTTTCACCTTACAATGCCTTCCCCCAAGTGTGAAAACCCAGGCCTCGATGTTCAAGGCCCAGGCCTTACTTTGGTACCTTTGGCCTCCCTCCTGGCAGAGGTTCAGGGACAAGTTCTCACCTTGCACACCCCCGATAAGATGTTAGGGCTCTGCCTTTTCACCCCTTTCCTTCTAGAGGCTCAAGGCCTACATCTCACTTTTGTATCTTCTTTGGCCCTCCGCCCACTGCTGCAGCCCCTGGACGCACCTTTGCAGACGGGCTTGGTACCATTCCACGTTCGGTCCTTGGTGCAGCTCAGCACAGATACCCTGTGTGATTCCATCATGTAGCCAGGGACACACTGATAGGTCACAGTTTTGTTGTACCTGAAGTCATTGCCCAGCCGGAGGCCATTGGCTGGAATCCCAGGGTCCCCACAGTTTATGACTAGGGTAAGAGAGATACAGCATTATTCAGCCCCAGCCCAGACCCCGTTTCTCCTCAGTGCTCCAATCCCACCTCTGTCACTTCCTGCACACATCCTAGACGGGAAGCTGTCACATCAGGGACACCCAGCTGGGAATCGCCAATTCTCAAGTCCATTTGGTCAAATCCCCCACCTTGGCCCTGTCCCTGCCCACACCGTCCTTACACACCCAGCCATTGAGCTATGGAGACCAGGCTTCTTACTCACCACCTACTAGGAAGTACCCAGGGGGCTCAGTTCCTAAATGAGGCTGGTGCAGGGGGAGGGGGGGTTCCAGGTTGAAGAGCCTAAGGTGTGTTAACGGACCATGAAAGATGATTAATTTGTCTGCCAAGGGTCTCCTTGTCACCTGCTGTTGTGCTTAGGAGGCCTCTCTCTGCAGGCTGACCAGCCTGCAAGCAGGGTCTGTGGTCCTGCCTGTGTTATGGTGTCAGCAAGGGAGGGGTTTGGTGAGCTCTGGTCCCAGAACAAAAGTGAATGTGACAGGGGACTTCAGATGGAGCCTGGAATCATGGACTAGGACTTGACAGGAGAATGTTGTCAGATTCCCTCATCTCATCTCCTCCCTCCATCTGGCCCCACTGCGACTCCCTTTCCAAGGAAAAGATCTGGGGCTACCCGTGAGAGGAGAAGGCGAGGGGAGCTGTGAGGCTACGCCCTACACAGGGGCCAGGCTGGGTGGGGATGTGTACAAGGAAAGAAGGAGGTGACAAGGATGGTGGGTGGTGGCCGTTTTAAAGTGGAAAGAGAATTAGGCTGAGCCTGGGAGGTTGGCCCAGAAAGAAAAAAAAAAAAAGCACAAGGAATTATCTAAAGCCTGAGAAATGGCTAATATATATTCTCAACCTCTCTGAGCCTCCCTCATCTCATAATAAAATGGGGCTAATAGTAGCTACTTCATGGGCTTGTGGTGAGAATCAAACAATATACGCGTATAAAATAACTCAGTCAACTCAGTGGCTGCCACACAGTACCTGCTCAATAAAGAGGCTATTCAAGATTCTCTTTCAGCCTTGAGTCCCACCACTCTAGCCAGCCTGCCCAGTCCCTCCTGGACAGCCTTCTTTGGCACGTAGGAGCTGGGTCACCTAGGCCCCCATTTGCCATGGAGTCCAGAGGGCCTGGGTGCTCACCTATGCACTCAGGGTCACTGCCTGTCCAGGTGCCATTGACTGAGCAGTGACGGCTGAGCAGGCCTGTGGCGTAGTAGCCTTCCCGACACTCATAGACGATGGAGCTGGAGAAGACCAGGCCGTCACTGAACACAACGCGGGCGTTGCTTGGAGTCCCAGGGTTCCCACAAGAGATCACTAGGAAGCCAAAAGAGCACGCCGTTTACCAAAACAGTGGCGGGCATCACCTGGGGAACCGAGAACTGCCCAGAGTGGAAACCACATAATACACAGGGACCCTGTAGATGGAAATGCTTCTCACGCTGTTTTCACATCTAATTATCTCAACCCTAGACAGGAAGGAGAGATCTATATGAATTTTTTGTAATTTCTAAAAAATTCTTTTTTCCTAGAAAAAAAGGCAATATCTGTTTTGTTATCACCCCTAAAATTTTAAACATAATTCCTTAATATCATCAAATATTCAATCTGTGCTTAATTTTCAATAGTCTCTTTTTTTTTTTTTTTACAGCTGATTTGTTGGAATCAGGATCCAAATAACACCCACACATGACATTCAGCTGACACATCTCTAAGACTTTGAATCCAGAGATTACTGTTCCCTCTTCTACAATTTATCTGTTACAGAAACAGGGCATCTGTCCTGCAGAACCTCCCACTTTCTGGATCTTGCTAATCGCATTGGTGAGGTATAGCTTAACATGTGTCTCTGTGTCCTGCAATTCCTGGAACCAAGATGTACTTTTTGGGAAGGGCACTTCATAGGTGGTTTGTGTCTTTCCTATCGCGTCAAATCAGGAGGCACAGAATGTCTGTCTGGCTGTTTGCTCGTTCGTGGTGTTGAGGGCTGTGCGGTGGTTTCAGGCTTGCCCACCTGAAACCTGGCACTATAATGTTCCCATTAGTTTTTCACTTAATGGTTTTAGCAGCAATTGACGGTTGTTGGCCGGATTCATTATTTCATTAGGGATTGGAAAATGGTGATATTCTATCATTCTTTCTGCATTAGCTAGAGCTCTTTAAGAAAGAAATTTCCCATCATCAAATATTTGCTTACCCTGAAATACAGTTCATATGTGAAGGCCACATAATGCTTGATCCTTTTGTTTTTTCTGAATCAGAATAATGAGTCAGTTTCTTAGCAGGGGACCAAGGAGGTTACTTAATAATCATTTTGAACTCGTGGATTTATGCCATGCCTGGCCATTATTATTCTTATTCATGCTCAAATTATCCCATCTTTGGCCAATGGGAGCCTTTTCAAGTTGGCTCCTAAGTTCCTTTCATATGACCCCAGTTATCTTTGGTGGATTCCTTGCTTGAGCGACAAGATAGTCTATGTTTATCTTGTGTATTTCCTGCCCTAGCCCTGAAATCAGCCATTACTCCATAGAGCCTGGTTCCTTGTAACAGATAATGGATTTAGAGGCCACAATCTGGGCACGACAAGGACTCATTGCTGCTGAGCTGGTCATAGGTTCTGGAATTTAAGAATGGCTAGAGCTGGGGAAAGAACTTTTTAAACTGAAAATACATTATGAGTTTATGTTGATATTGCCAGTCCAAATTTAGAATTAAGGCTTTTTCCTTAAATTCTTCATTTTTGTATCTCTTTTATGCTGCAAATATTGGTTTGCAATGACAACAAATAATTTGTGTTTATTTTATCTATGTATATTACGGTAGGGCATATATAATAGTTCCAGGATAGTAATATCAATATTATTGCTAACAATATAATTGCCAAAAACAGTTTTAAGATTTCTCCACAATTCTCTTTGTCCTTAGGTTATATACCACAGTCAAATTCCATCTTTTCAAGTCAGTTGAAATAATTTTCTGGGTTATTAAGTCACCAACTTGATACATAGTTAGGTTCATTTATTTCCATCAGTATGTTAATATTTAGAGATTGCACGTTTCTAACCTTTGATTTAATTTTGTAAGTATGTACAACATTTGCATAGTCCCAAAGTAAAATCTACAAAATGATTCCTATATAATTAGCACCACAGATAGTTCTTGACATGCATTCATTCAACAAGCATTTGTGCTGCCTGGGTGCCCGGAATTCAACAATGACCAAGTTATGTCCCCTGCCCTTGAGGAACTTAGTCTGTTTTAAGAAACCTACCTATAAACAGATGCATTCAAATATGACATAATGAGTGTTATACTTGAAGGGAAAAAAGCACTAAGAAGGAAGAAACTTATCAGGGCTGGAGTACAATCCTTAAGGATAAGTAGGCACCTGTCAAGAGAAGTCATAAGAGCTGTGTACCTGTGTGTATTCTCTCTCTCTCTCTCTCATTTAACAAACATTCATTGCCAGGTCCAAACTTGTAACCATCCACTTTCTGACCCTGAACAGTCCTGACGTGGTAAGTGACTGGACCCTGGGATCTGAGTGGTGAGAAAGGGCACGTGGGTCATGTGGATATTTAAGAATATACGAAATTCTCCCTTGTGTCACACTTTCCCACTACCACACGCCTCTCTTGCCATGCTTACGAAATTCTATGGAAACTGACTTTGCAAGTAGCAATCCCAGAAAGGCAGGACTCTGGGCACACAAGTGGGCAAGGGCTCTGACTCTATTTGTCTCACTTCCCAGGCAGGTGGCTAGAACATCTCCCTTGCCCTGCGGGATCCTCCACAATCTAGCTCCCTGCAGCCTGCTCGCTAACCACGGCCTCTGCTCTCTCCAGCTCGCTCCCTCTGGGATTTGCACTCCGGTGATATTTTGGTCCCGTGGGGCCCATAATCCATTGCTCCTGCCACTTTCTCTCTGCCTCTTACTCCCCTCCTAAATCTGCTCCCTCCTTACCCAGCTTAGACGCCAAGATCCATCATAATCACTGCCTGGCTTTCACCCCCTTCCCCTTGCCCGTTCTGCCAATGTCTGGCAGATCTCCAGCTCTACACCCAGCGCACTGTCTGCTCTGTGCCTGCGCCTGTGGTGCAAGACGTGCTTGAACGAAAGCACAGCCCGCTGCTGACTCTCTCGCTGCAAACCGATGATCCCTCATGTTAAGTGGGCCCTCGGTGCTGCCTGGCAGTTACGCACGTCCCTGTTCCATTCCCACTCCCGCCTCGCTAGATCATTATTTCCTGTCATCTCCTTCCTCTTCCACATCTTCTCGCTCAACCTTGCTCTCAGCTGTTCCTCCTGCTTCCTGACTAGGACAGTGCTATGCAGGCTGGACTTTAGAGAGATTTGGGGACCACCCGCAAAAAGCTGGACTCTGGAGAGAGAGATTTTTACAAAGCTTTTTTCTCCCTAGAAATTTAAAAGTGTGTGGAAAATATAATTTCCCCCATTGGCGCTACCTTGGGACACATCATTGAGGGCCCACATTACTTTGAAAGAGTTTTTAAAAATTGGATTTATACTTCTTTCGGCACTTTGAATTTTTTTTTTAAAACATACTCTCCTCCCTTAGACTGTAAACTCCAGGAGAGCACGATGTGTGTCTTAGTCTGTTCAGGCTGCTGTAACAAATATCATAAACCACTGGTGGCTTATAAACAACAGGAATTTATTGTTCACAACCCTGGGGGCCGGAAAGTCCAAGATCAAGGCACCGGCAGATTCAGTGTCTGGGAAGGGCCTTTTTCTGGTTCGTAGATGGTGCCTACTTGCCGTGTTCTCACGGGGCAGCAGGGAAAGGGAGCTTTACGGGGTATCTTTTAAAGAGCACTAATCCCATTGCATGACCTACTAACCCCCAATGGCCCCACCTCCTAATATTGCCACCTTGAAGGTTAGGTTTCCACATATAATTTTGGGGACACAAACATTCAGACTGCAGCAATGTCCCCAGCACATACCACGACAGCAGTTGTCACACAGTTATTGAAGGAAATTGTATGGAAAATAAATGAATCAATGGGCTAAATTCAATCTTTTTTGGTTTCTTCCCTTTTTAGGTGAGGGGGAAGTACGTCTGTCTTTGGATTGCTAATGAGAATGAACATGAACTGTCCACTGCTGTCCACTATCAGCCGGGCGGAGGGTTCGAGTGGGGCCGTGGGAGCAGGAGCAGGAGCGGGGGAGCTCTGGGGCTGCGCAAAGGGGAGAAGCAGAACGGTCACATACATTACCTCCACACTCAGGCTGCGAGCCGCTCCACGAGCCGTTGGCGAGACAGGTTCGCTCTGACGATCCCCGGAGCACGTGGCCAGCTTCACAGCTGAAGCGCATCAGACTGCCTGGATCAAAGCTATCTCCCAGTCGGATGCCGTGGGCCGGGATCCCAGGGTCACCACAAACTCCCATGCTGGTTCCTATGGACCGGAATCAGACAAACCCCCTTGCTTTTGCATGGGAGAAAAGGGAACGGAGGAGTCGGAGAGAGAAAGAGATTGGGTCGTGGCTATGGGGAAGCAGCGGGTCCCACGAATGAGGGAGGTGACACCTGACTGCACACCTGGCCTGTTACCTGGACAAGTCCTGCCTCACTACTCAATGGTCAAAGAGCTGAGGCCGTGGGCAAGTCCTTGGGCACCAAGCAGGAAAGGAAGCAAGGAGGCAGAGGGAAGGTTCTCTGGCTGGTGTCAGTCTGGGATTTCAGTGGCCCGAGCTGGCCCCATCTCCTTCTCCCTTCTCTCTTCCCCACCAGCACCTGCTGGGTCTATGGTACCCTCTCCACTCTCAACACCACCGTCCCGGCTCAGATGCTCAACATTCTTTTGTCTGAATGATTGCAAGAGCCTCCCAACTAACATCCCTTCCTTGTAAACTCCTTCTAATCCATCTTCCACTTCATCCTCAAATCTTAATAATGAACAACCACTAACTATATGATCTTGTTTTGTTTCTTATTTTTTTCCTACAGAAATATCTCTAACTGGCTTCCCAATGCTTGCAGGATAAAGTCCAAACTCCTTAGCATAGCTTCATTTATCAACAGCCCTGCTTGAATCTTGATCTTGGCCCTTTATTTATTTATTACTTTTTAAAAGTTTCATTTTGGCCAAGCATGGTGGCTCACACCTATAATTGCAGCACTTTGGGAGGCTGAAGCAGGAGGGTTGCTTGAGGCCAGGAATTTGGGACTGGACAAGACATCTACCAAAAAAAAAAAAACCCAGCCAGGTGTTGTGGCATGCTCCTGTAGTCCCAGTTACTTGGGAGGCCGAGGCAGAAGGATTGCTTGAGCCCAGGAGTTTGAGGTTACAGCGAGCTCCAATGATGCCACTGCACTCTAGCCTGGGTGACAGCAAGACCCTGTTTCTCGAAACAAAAACAAAAATTTTCATTTTATTTTTAATTGACACATAATTGTATATATTAATATTTATGGGGTACAATGTGATTTTCCATATATGTATTGCATAGTTCAAAATAGCTAAAAGAGAGAATTTTAAATGTCCTCACCACAAAGAAATGATAAATATTGGAGGTGATTGATCCTGGGCCTTTAATTGAGGATTTCCTACTTGCAAATTATGCAATACGGGTGAGTTCTAGAATAAATGTCTCGGGCCCTCTCATTTAACTTTTGCTTTGTCCCCTGCCTCTTGCTACATTCCTGCATTGATCTGGCTTCTGATATCGCACATGCCCACTCAAGAGAGTGCTAAGGACCCAAGAGGTTAAAGACAGTAGAGAGTAGGAGACACAGCCACAAGATCTAGTGCCCGTGGGGACAGCACTTTTCATAACACAGAGAGGGACAGGAGAAGACATTAGATCAGACTAGGCCATGGTGAACATGAGGAAGGAGGAGGAAAATTATGGAATAAATGGTAGCTTCATGAGATGATAAAGTTTCCAACTGTTAGGGAATCTGTCTCCTCATGAAACTGTGAATGGGCAGCAAATGGTAACATCTGAGTGACCACATTTGGTGTGTTGGAGTCAAGAGGTGTTTAAGTCATGTGTACCTCACCACTTACCATTTATGTCTCCTCTGTCTTCTCAACCTTGGAACTATTCCCCTGCCTCCTCTAGTCTTAGACTGTGAGATACGATACAACCACAAGTTCTTCATTCCGCTCCCACCGTGGAAGGGGGATTCATTCAACTTCAACTCAAACATTTACAAAAAGAGAATCCATCACATTTGGCTACATTTGTTTATCTTTTGAAGTTTTCCAGGATGTAGCTCTCACAACAGGCAGGACTGGGGCCCCTTCAAGGCAAACTTGATGGTGAGTAGCTCTAAGTCCTATGATGGCCAGCTGACCCCAGCTGGAGCCAGGACTAATGTAAAATAGACAGGAGGGTGGAGTGTAGTCCTAGGGACTTGTTCCGACAGAACGGCCCCCACTGCAGTGTTGGGGGTGTGCTTCAATGATATAAGGGGGTCTGGGACAGATTATTACACCACGGGAGTAGAGTAAGTAGAGTAAACAGACAGCAACTATTTACTGAAGAGGTACATTAGCAAAGATGGCGATTCTGGAGAGGCGGGCAATGAACTTCCTGAACAGGTCTCAAACTCCAGACATCTCTGCGTATCCCTGGTGGCCCAGTGGTTTATGACTCAAGGACTCAGGAGATTTGTCATGCATCATCTGAGTCCACTGATTGCACAGATTGAGGCTAAAAATTATGACCTGGAATTCTTTTTTTTTTTTTTGAGACAGAGTCTCACTCTTTTTGCCCAGGCTAGAGCGAGTGCCGTGGCGTCAGCCTAGCTCACAGCAACCTCAAACTCCTGGGCTCAAGCAATCCTACTGCCTCAGCCTCCCGAGTAGCTGGGACCACAGGCATGCGCCACCATGCCCGGCTAATTTTTTGTATATATTTTTAGTTGGCTGATTAATTTCTTTCTAATTTTAATAGAGACGGGGTCTCGCTCTTGCTCAGGCTGGTCTCGAACTCCTGAGCTCAAACAATCCGCCCACCTCGGCCTCCCAGAGAGCTAGGATTACAGGCGTGAGCCACCGCGCCCGGCCATGACCTGGAATTCTTGAATGTGTATTTCTAAGACTGGCAGGAGATGTTGTTGCAAAAGGTAACATCTATAAGTTTCAAGAAGGGAGGAATTATATCTCTATCTATAGTGCATACCTAATATTACATCCTAAATGTCTATTCTTCTCATCTCTCATTTTTTATCAAAGACATTTAAGCTTCATTCATTTCCCAGCCTTAGCATTTATAAAATCCCTTCTAATTCTGTCCCCAGAGGTTTCCAGGAAGGCTCCGCCCACGATGCTGGTCTCCTAGGTGTCTGTCATCTTTGAGGGACACATGGGGGAAATAAGACTGCTAGTTATTCTTCAGACTGTTCAGGGTCAGGAGTTAAACAGTGGAATGCATGTTCCCTGATGAATGAAGTCCATGTCCTCTGAAAGTTCCTTTCTTGCTTCTTACTTTTTCATGTTCCCAAGGTGTCAGCTTGTTTCTAGTGTCGCATGTGGACTTTGGCTGTTGCTCAGGAAGAGTCCCTTCCTCCACATGCTAGGACCAGTACTTAGGAGGTCACGACATAGTGAAATCTCAGAGCCGAAAGGCTTCTGGAGATTTTCTAGTTTAGTTCTCCATCCCAGACAAGAATTGTCTCTGTAATATTTCCAGTGGGTCAATTTCCAGCCTCTCCTAACACAACTCCAGAGAAGGGAAATGACAGTTTGGATTCCAGGCTGTGGGCCAGAATGACCATGTGGTTACAGCTCAAAGCTTTCTTTCTGCTTCCTTCCTCCCCTACCCTATGAATCCCTTTCCCATGGAGAACAAAGATCCGCAAAATAAATCAAATAGACTCTGAGAACACCATTAGCCCAGCGTCCCGGAGAAGTGTCTAGAGGGAAGACCTTTCACAAAGGGATCATCACCGAAGGGACTTGGGAAGTGTACGCTCAGCTCCTGTTCCCCTTGTGAATGCCTCTTCCTGCTGGACCTTGCTCCGAGGATACCCAGGAGGCGCTTGTCTTCCCCAAATAGCTTCCACCAGGAGTCCACACAGAAGGGCGTCACGGGCCCAGTTAGCTGGCCTTCCTCTAGCCCAGGCTAAAGGAGTCCTTGCGGCTCGTATGCAGTTCTCAGTTTATTAATTAGATGATTAATGAGTTAAAAAGGGGAGGGGCCAAAGTCCTGGGTGGTCATATGAAGCGCTATGTCCGGGGTTTTCCTGGACAGCAACAGCCTTTTATAACAGTGGCTTTGGGACTCTCTCCTTTCTGAAGAGAACTATTACCTGGCTCAATATTCTGGCAGTGTCCTACATTTTGGAAGACAGGCTCATCTGGGAGTGTCGAACTGCAAGAACAGCTGCGCATCTTATGGGTGAGGCCCCACATTGAGGAGAAGGCTTCTGTGTTAGGAGAAGATCAGGATCCTGACCTCTAGAAGGGGTCTGGCATGGGAAGGGCTAGGGGTTCATTTCAACGCCAAGGTGGGCTCCCTGAGGAACATCAAGCCTCGTGAGCAGCTGCCCTCTTGAGAGTGACATACGGTGAGGGCAGCCTCACCTCAAAGAAGACGAAGCTGCAGGGGGCTAATATTTTAGCTTGGTGGTTTCCGTTATTGGTGGGAAAATTCCCTTTCAAATATTTTGTTCTGTTATGCAACATTACCCGTGAATGTTAATGTGGGAGCTTTGGCAGTTCCCCACATCTGCTGTTTTGACAACATCTGTCAGTATCCTCATAGAGATCAGCAGTAAAATGAATTTGTTAACAGGAAATGTCTGGGGACTGCTGTTTCAGGGTAGTAGGGAAGAAGACTGTACCCCCGCTAGGCAGCTGGGATATAGGACAAGTGAGGGGCGGTGATAAGAAAGGACGGGAGGCAGGCTGGGGCCTGGGAGTCCGAGACAGGGCAGAGAAGACACAGGAGTGCATCTGACCTGGGCTGACAACAGGAAGGCTCAGACTGTGCCCAGGAACTCAGGGGATCAAGTGTCTGGACAGGACTCTACCATAGGTTGACCTCAAGAGTTGCGCCTAGGCCAGGTGTGGTAGCTCACGCCTCTGTGATCCTAGTAATTTGGAAGGCCAAAGTGCATGGATCGCTTGAGGCCAGGAGTTCAAGACCAGTCTGAACAACATAGCAAGACTCTGCCTCTACAAAAAAATAGAAACATTAGCAGGGCGTGGGGGTGCACGCCTGTACTCCTAGGTACTTGGGAGGCTGAGACAGGAGGATCGCTTTAGCCTAGGAATTTGAGGTTGCAGTGAGCTGGGATGCTGCCACTGTACTCCAGCCCGGGGCAACAGAGCAAGACTCTGTCTCAAGAAAAAAACCCCCAAAAAACAAGAAAACCCCCAAAACCCTATCCCCCAACCCCAGAAAAACATTGTGCCCTTCCTAGTTTTGCAATCTTTTGGCTGTATGGCCAGAGCTGACTGAGGGGACCACGCTGGGCTCAGCCCACCATGGCTCTTCTAGTTGTGCCCTCTGCCTGCCAGGGAAGGAACAGGGCTCCAAAGGATTCCCTCCCCTCCATCAGTCATGCTCACACCTTGCGAGCTCGGCCACCTCCCATCAGCCACTTGTTCTACCAGAGCCCTTCCCCCATGCCACGTGCCATACCTGAGCAGTGGGGGAGGGAGCCAGTCCAGTGTCCATCCAGCCCGCACATACGGGTGGCGTTTCCCACCAGAGTCCGCTTGCCGGCGCAGCTGTAACGCACGACTGCCCCCACGGTAAAGCTGTCTCCAGACATCTGAGAATGAGGCGGGGAGCCCGGGTGGCCACAGGACACCACTGTGGAGAAGAGCAAACAGCTCAGCAACTCTGCACAGAGAAGGACTGTCATCACGCAACACACGCGAGGCTTCTTGTGGCCGGAGGCAAGGAAGAAGAGAAACCCTTGGGCATCTACTGAAGGAAATTTCCTGCTGGCATCAGCAGACAACGCCCACCCACCTCACTGGACAGCGTCCATAGGTGTGACAGGAGGAGCAGAGCCTGCCCAGCACGAGGTAGGTACATGATAATATTAGTTTCTTTTCTTTCTTGCCCCTTGTGCACACCTCTCCCTATTTCTTCACTACCATGGGACATGCCCACGGTGTCTCTTGGCAGGAAGGTGGTACACAGCATACATAAGACAAAATGGGACATCTTCCCTCCTTTGACTGTCTTCACTGGCCACAGCTTCCAGAATGAGGGCCAATTACAGTCCTTTCCCAACAGCATCTTACAGTCACCTCATTAATTGTCCCCAGCCTGTCCCCTGCAAGCTCCCTTTCCTGAAACACCATGGTGTAACTGTGAAAGCCAGTGAGAAGATCAGAACACCAGAACTGAGGTGTACAGGCTAGGGCGGGGCGACGCTGTCACATCACTGGCTTGGGTGCTCGTTGTTCTTGTCACAGGTGGATCCCAGGGCTCTCTCATTTACTCAGCACAGAAGTATCGAGTGCCTGTTATGTGCTAGACACTGTTCTATGTGTTTGGGAGAACAAAGTCCATGCTCTCACGGAGCTTACATTCTAGTGGGGAAGACAGACTACAAATAAGAAAATAAACAGATAATTCCTGGGGGTGCCGCATCAGGAAAAGGGTGTTCGGGAGCGAGGTGAAGGTGCTATTTTTGAATAGGTGGTTGGGGAAGATCTCTCTGAGGAAGGGGATGTTTGAGAGGTGACTTGAGTGCTGTGCAGAGATCAGCCACCCATAACCTGGGGGAAGAGCCCGTGAGGGAAGGAGCATCAGGAATAGAGGCCCAGAGGCCAGAGTGAGCGTGGTGTGTTTGAGAAACAGCACGAAAGCCAGGGATGCCGGACTGGGATGAGAAGGAGATGAGGGTGGGGAAGTCACTAGGAGCCAGATCACAGCACGGAATTCGGATTTTACTATACACATCTCGGGAAGCCACTGGAGCCGTGTGATCTGATCATACTGGCCACTGTGTGCCGAAGAGAACAGGGTGGGGCAGGAAAGAGAGACGAAACTGTCACAGTTCAAGAAGAGATGAAAATTACTAGAATGACATCTTGGGGTCTAGTAGGAGATCCTTGCAGCCTTGGCTTGCACCCAGAAAGGGCACGGGGCATGGCATGGATGCTGACCAGGACAGGTGACCAACGCTGTCCTGATGATGAAATTTTGGCAGGGTATAGGGATGGCAAGAATAGGTCTTAGGTGCCTTCACTTCTCACCGTGGTCTTAAAATGGGTCGAACACTGTTCTAAATGCTTACGGTACATTACCTGCAAAGACTGCTACCAACGATTCCTCTCATCAAGGGGTGGAGTCTGTTTCCCCTTCCCCTTGAATCTGGGGCGGCCTGTGGTGGAAGTGATGTCAGCTAGTCGTGTCCTATGGGGCCTGGCAGCTTCTGCCTTCATTTCTTGAAGTACTAGTGCTGCCATGTAAGGAAACCTGGCCTTGACTACTGAATGATAAAAAACCATGTGGAGCGGGGACCATGTGGAGAACAGTCACAATGCCCCAGCTGACAGCCAGCGTCAAGGTCACCAACAAGTGTGCGAGGCCATCTGGCGTCTTCTAGGTGTGGCTGAGCCACAATGGCCAATAACGTGTGGGGCAGACACGAGCTGCCTCCACTGAACTCTGCCCGAATTGCCAATCATGAGCAAGAAAAAGGTCATTGCATCAAGTCTCTAGGTTTAGGGATGATTTGTTACACAATAGATAACAGAGATAAAACGGATATGTCGTTGGAGATCTTGAGGGTGAGGGGTTATATACCGCGTGTGGGAAGGATATGAACTGTGGTGACCAGAGGGCTGACTGTGGTACACCATCTGCAAAGGTGGCCCCCCAAAATTGTCCCCATCCCTGAACGCATGCCACCCCTCCCCCTCCTAGAGGTGGAGGCCATCATTTCCCCTTCCCTTCAATCTGGACTGGCCTCGTGACTTGCTTTGATCAACTGAATGTGATGGAATGAGGTTTTGGAAATTCTGAGATCTGGATTTAAGAGATCTTATAACTTCGTTTTTTGCTCTAGGAACCCAGCTTCCAAGTAAAGAAGACCCATCCAACCTGCTGGAGGGAGTGGCCACATGGAGAGATGCCACACAGAGGAGAACAGGCTTCTCCTCAGCCACCACCGGGCACCAAGACCCCAGATGTGTATGTGAGACTGTCTTGGATCCTCCAGTCCTGACTGAGCTGCAAAGTGAACGGATGACCTTTCCTTGCTGTGATGGCTAATTCTATGTGCCAACTTGACTGGGCCACAGGGTGCTCAGACATTTGGTCAAACATTATTCTAGGTGTATCTGTGAGAACGTTTCTGAGTAAGATTATAAATTGAATAGGTAGACTGAGTAAAGCAGATTGCCCTCCCCAGTGTGAACTGGGTTCCTCCAATCCACTGAAGACCTGAGTTAGACAGAAAAGGCAGAGTAAGAGAGAATTCTCTCTGTGCCTGTCTTCGAGCTGGGACATTGGTCTTCTCCTGCTTTCAGACTCAGACTCAGACCCAGACTGTAGCTACATCGTCAGCTCTATGGGGTCTCCAGCCTGCCACTTGCAGAACTTGGGATTCTCAGTTTCCATAATTGCATGAGACAATTTGTTATAATAAATCTCCCAAGATATAGACACACATCTCCTATTGGTTCTATTTCTCTGGAGAACCCAGGCTAATACACCTGCTAAACCCTGCCTGAATATCTGGAATTTCAGGAATTTCTGACTTATGGAATTGTGAGAAAACAAACACAGTTGCTATTTTAAGCCACTAAGTTTTAAGATGTTTTGTTACACAGCAATAGACACCCGATACCGTGAATTTCAAGGATTACGCCATTTATTCCCTAAGACCACCCTATGAGTCATCTCCTTCATCTCCGTCTTACTGGGGAGGGGAGCGCAGCCTGGAGAGGATGAGTAACCCGCCCAAGGTCACAGACTTATCCAGTGCTCAACTTAGTTCTGGAAACGAGGCTGTTGGACTCCGGAGGCCACACTCTTACACACTTTAATTGACTCCCTTCTGCGATACTGTTTCAACACTACCAATAGAATATCTCTTCTTCTGAAAGGAATGGAGTCTCTAATTATAATTTAAATGATTCTGTGATTGTTTATCAGAGATTTTTGGACTTCCAGAAATTGTCTAATTTTAACTCTCTAATGATATTTCAAACAAACTCTTTAATGGAACTATAGCAGACATAGAGACACAATAATCATTGTGCACAGCTTAGCGAATTGTCGCAAAGTAACACTCACAAAACCACTGTTCAGATGGAAAACTAGAGCATCACCAGAGCCCGGAAGCTCCTCATGCCCTGTACCTATCACACCTCCTCCTGCCCCCAAAGCAAACAGCTGCCCTGACTTCATGTACCATTGATTAGCTTTGTCTGCCTCTGCTTCTGAGTTTTATACAAATGGAGTCACACACCGCAGAGTTTATATTTGGCTTCTTTCATTCAACATAGTTTGTGAAACTCATCTACTCTGTGTGTAGCAATAATTCATTCACAATTACTGCAATAGAGCAGGGTTGGCAAACTTCCTGGAAGGGCCAGATTGTACATATTTTAGCCTCTGAAGGCCACAGACATTCTCTGTTGCATATTCTTCTTTTTCTTCCTTTTTTGGTTTTTTTCAAGCCTTTAAAAATGTAAAAACCATTCTTATCCAAAGGGTCACAGAAAAACAGGCCAAGGGCTGGATTTTGCCCATGGGCCAGAGTTTATTGACTCCTGCTATAGTATACCATTTGTATTAGTTATCTATTACCATATGACGACCCAAATTTAGATAATAAACCTTTGTTATCGCTCACAGTTTCTGTGGGCCAGGAATTTGGAAATGGCTTAGCTGAATGGTTCTAGCTCAGGATCACTCATGAGGTTGCAGCCAGGATGTATGCTGTGGCTGCAGCCATCTCGGGGCTTGACTGACTTCCCTGAGTGACTAATCTAAGAGAGAAAGGCAGAGGTGCCACTGTCTTCAACGACCTAGGTTTGGGAGCCACACACTACCATTGCCGCCGTATTCTACTGTTCACCTAGACTAACCTGGTACAATGTCAGAAGCTACCACATAAAGACAATGACTATAAGAGCCAGGGACCGTTGTGCCATTTTAAGGCTGGCTGCCACATGATGGCATGAATATACCACGTTTTAGTTATCATTTCCTGTTCATAAACATTTAGGTTGTTTCTTGTTTTGGACGTTTGTGAACAAGGCTGATAGGAACATTTTTGTTCACGTCTATTGGTGTACAGATGTCCACATTTATGTTGGCTACCTCTAAAGATTCCTGTAACAGTACTTGGCTGTGTTTTCTGATGTTCTTATTTGGCTTTCTGACCCTTATCTGGGATTTGAGGATAGTGTTAAATTATGCTAATCTAATAATCTCTGAAAAAGTATATGCAATGACTTTATGAAAAAAATGAAAATTATTTTATTTGTCACAGGCACAGATACTTGGGTGTCTGTCAAATTAGCAACCAGATAGCTGGGTGCACTGGTGCGCGCCTATAGTCCCAGCTATTCGAGAGGCTGAGGCAGGAGGATCGCTTAAGCCCAGGAATTCGAGGGCAGCCTAGACAACATCTCAAGATTCTGTCTCTAAAAACAAAAAAATTATCAACCAGTGTATACTCTATTGTTTTATTCCCTTCCTGTGGGTTGTTCTTTTAAAAGAGGAAGTCAACAATAAGGTTTGCGACAAAACACAAAACAATGACAATACCATTTGGCTACTGTGGATGAAGAAAACAAGACAAGAATATGTGATACCACTAAAGAGAAGGTGAATTTTGC